TTTCGTAGTTCTCCAGGTTTTGGCGCCATTCAGTAGAACTGTCTTGACATATGTATTGAAAATCCTGACCTTGGTGTTGGTTGATAGTTGTTTTGAGTTCCATATGTTCTTCAGTTGCTCTCACTTTGCCGATCCGCGCCTTCACATCTGCATCCGATCCACTGTACTCATCAATGATGCTGCCCAGATATGTGAAGGTTTATACATCCTCCAAATGTTCTCTGTCAATTGTGATTGGATTGTTGCATGCTGTGTTGTATCGGAGAATCTTGCTTTTCCCTTTGTGCATGTTGAGACTTACTGCTGCTGAGGCTGCTGCTACACTGGTCGTTTTCTCCTGCATTTGTTGTTGCATTTGCGATAGAAGAGCCAGATCATCTGCGAAGTCTAGATCGTCCAACTGCATTCTAGATGTTCAATGTATCCCGTGGTTCCCTTCAGATGTTGACGTCTTCATAATCCAGTCGATCACCAGGAGAAAGAGAAAAGATGAGAGTAAGCAACCTTGCCTGACGCCGGTCTTTACTTCGGACGACTTTTTCAACTGTCCTTCATGAACTATTTTGCAGTTTAATCCATCCGCCTGGAGTTCCTCCGGGGACTACTGCCGGTCCCAAGCCCGGATAAAGGAGATGGGTTGGGCATGAGGTTAGCGATCCCATCCCGTAGAAAACTAACTCGCTAAAAAAACGCTAAGCAGAAAATAATTATTCAAACCAATAGCTACTAGGAGGAATATTAAGATTATATCGAAGATTTGAAATAATATAGTTACTATTTAACCAATCATTGAATATGGATCTAATTACTGCGTCTTAGATACTTTAGTACAAGTAATGAATATGATTATTTTATGTTGTTACGTTGCTACTGGTGCTTTAATTAATTTACTTATAGGGATAGCTGTCAGTCGAATCAAAATGAGACCTGTTTGATGAATGTACTACTATCTTAGTAAGTGCTGTTGTACTCACTAAAGAGAGACCTCAACTGTTTTGGGCTAGTAGTAAAACTTTGATCCCAGTGATAACCACTGCCATAAATACATCAAATATTCTTGCTTTGTTCCTTCGTACTATTTAAGCTTAACTTGTTTATTTATTCTCTGAAGAAACGGCTTACACGAAACGTTAAAAAATTCAAATAATTTTTCTACGCATTAGGATATTACAAATATATTATGTTTATTAAAAAACGTCACAAACTAAAATATGCCGCGAAATTCATAGACTTTATTATATGATATTTAGATATGGTTGAAACGGACATTCCCACATTATGTTATGGATGTGCACTGCTGAGGATTCCCACACTAGGATGAAACGACCATCCAGTGCTTACGGGTTTTCCATGATGATCTAGCTTCAATTGACTCATGAACTCAACTATCAAATTACTATAATATCCACAAAACCCATTTCAGATCTCATTTATTTTCATTTGTTCTCCAGCTGATGTTGATTTATGATGAAAATTACTTCCATATTGCAAACAGTATCTAAAATATATTTTTACAGGTAACTGATTATTTATCCATTGTTGTATTTATCTGTGTTAACGACAAAACCGTTACTAGTCGTTACTTATGTGAGCGTACAACTCACAAACCTTCTAAAAATTATTAGTGACAAGTCATAAAATCCCAGTTTTAAGATATACCTGCAATTTTGAAGGAACCTATGCTCTTTATGGGATCCGAACCCGCACCATCCAACTTCACAATCTGAGGCGTTATTGTTGACCTTTTTGTACAGCGACTGACGTCTTTGTATGGGTTACAATCTCTTAAAGAACATCAGTTTCCTTCAAGACTGGAAGTAAACCTTGCTGACGTGTGTAAACTAGTATGAAACCTAAGTCAAACAGGTTTTTCTACTGACTATTATTGACCATGGATTATAGTATAATAATAAACGCGTTGTTGAGCTACTTAGATTAGTGAACATACAACAAATTGATTTACAGAATTTGATCAGCACCAAAGAATTCGACAACTATGACATTGGTCAAGTTATAATCGGTATTCAATTAATTCACTTCCTTTTAATACAAAAATCAATCTGATTTATGTACGTTTGTACGTGATTTCGTGATTTCTGGAGTATAACCCTATAATCGTTTATAGGATGAGACAAAGAATTTAATTCAGAAAATAGACCTGATGATGATTGATTAGAACACAAAATGACTTCAGATTTTTACAAAAATCAAATGATTTCTCAATGTTTTCATTAAAAAAATATATTGAAAATGAATAGATCTAAGCTTTATTATTGTTGAAATACATAGAATTTCAGTAGTGTATACATATAGTTAAGCAATCACTCTACTAGGCGTTACTATATGGTTTAATCTAATATACATGGCATATAGGAAACTATAGGTAAAATAACTTTCACATAAACTTCCTAACATAAAATTACCGAATGTCATCATGAAGAAATTCGATAAAATAATAAACATGTGCTAGTTACTAATTTTACCGTATCATGTTTAAATTATCTAAAATTCATAAAACCACCCTAATATCTGACAAGTATACAAATTCCTGAGGTCAAATGAATTGATACTTTTCTGATGAAAATCATTGTAACAGTCATTTTCTTTTAATCATTAGAAGTATAACAAGTATTTATCTATTTATGGTGGTACTTCTATCTAAAACAAGCTCCTTTTCTATTAATGTCAGTTGATAAAAGTTTAATATTGAAAAATCTAATTGATTTATTTGTTAATCCTTACATGAAAATACAAATAAACTGATACATGATGAGTAGTTAGTTATTTCTGATATATAGTCGGAACCCAAATGTTATCACTTAAATTCATTCATACTTCTAAAATATCAATTACAGAGTTTGACAGTCATAGAAAAGATATCCGTGTGAGACTGGATTATTTCTTTTTTTGATGGTAAAATAAACTAGAGCTGTGTTAGAAGGGGTTTTGTGGAGATTCTAGTAACTTCAATAGTTGAGATCATAAGTCAATTGAAGCTAGACCATCATGGAAAACCTAGAAGCACTGGACGGCCGTTTCGCCCTATTGTGGGACTCCTCAGCAGTGCTCATCCATGATCCCGTCCCGCAAGATTCCAAACCAGGACCTATCAGTCTCGCGTGTGAACGATTAATCGCTACACCACTGAGCCGGTATCCAATGGTGTTAATGCCTAACTTAAACTAATCCACGAAATTGAGCGACACATCCACCATTGTCATCAGTGAGTTACTATCTCACAACTGACCCGGTTGAACTCCACTGGTCACTGCTTCTCACTAGAACTCCAGGATATACCTCTTGAAGCCAGTCACTAGTGAGCATATGTTGATCAGTATCAGAAGAGGTTTTTGTGGAGATTGTAGTAATTCCAATAGTTGAAATTTATTTAACATTTTCTCAATGTGAGTGTGTTTATTGCGGTTTATCACCTCAATTTTCATTTATCGTTTACTATCACTTTGATGTTTGACGCTTTTTTTTCTCCGTAAATGTGAGTTAGTGATTAATGTATTGTTTATCACTATGCTGTTATGACAAACACACATATCCGTTTCCTATGAGTCGTCTTATTTTTATGCTTGTGTATGTGTATGATCATACATGTTTACATTACACATGTCTTTCTAAGAATCTGTCTGCTCATATTTATACTTATCACCAGTCTGTTCATATGATACTATGATATTCCTCCTCAGAGATAAATGTACATAGAAATTGAATGACTGTCTGTACTACTACAAGAAGTTTGTTTAAAATTCAATTCCCAAGATATTTTGTTTGATATACATTTTTTAAGTAACAAGATGGTTTATAGCCAGAATAAGCAAGACAATTAATATTTATTGTGAATTCAATGTGAACGATGAGGTGAACATAGTAAAACCAATAAATTCCTATGTTCGAACCAAAATATCAAAGTTTTGTAGAACAAATTGACTGTATTTAAACTAATTGAAATGTTAAAATATATAAAGTGTAAGAATTGTTAGAATATTCTTTCTTTTAATAGTTGAGATCATGAATCAATTAAAGCGAGACCACAATGTAAAATCTGTAACCACTTGACGGCCGTTTTATCCTATTGTAGGACTCCTCAGCAGTGCGCATCCACGATCCCGTCTCGCGAGATTCCAATTCAGGACCTATCAGTCTCGCACGCGAACGCTTAACATCTAGACCACTGAGCCGAACGGCATCTAACGGTCTTAATGTCTAACTTCAACTAATCCACGAAATCGAGCGACACATCCACCATTGTCATCAGTGAGTTACTATCTCACAACTGACCCGGTTGAACTCCACTGGTCACTGCTTCTCACTAGAACTCCAGAAAATACCTCTTGAAGCCAGTCACTAATCATTTCATTGACCTTAGTAAAACAAGAATAATCACTGTTTGTGACATGATTAGTTTAGATTATCCTAAAACCTTTTGAGTAGTAACGGAAACCACCATTTTTACTGATCTTTAACAAAGTTCATTTTACGTTATTCAGTCATACAATCAGAGCTATTTGAAAGGAAATGCAAAACAGACAAAATGCAACAACAATCAAACTTTGGATACCAATATTCGTGAATTATGAAGTTCAGTCATTCCCCTTAATGATAATGTTAATTCATATGATCAATAAATATTAGTCTCTACTGATTTTTTTACTATAAGGTACGTAACTTTTGAATGATGGATCGTCCAGTAATCAAAATCTGAACGACTGATCATATCAGATCTAACGAGAGTGTAATCAGTGAACCTTTAAGACTGAATACTTGGATTACAGAGTTATTTGAACTAGGGTTAAAAGATCTTTTAAGGAATCATGAACGAAAATATATGAGATCGTTACTTATTACAACCTAACTGGTATATAATATTACCAAACCAGCAAACCTATATTTTAATAAGTGTAATCATAGAGCTTTTATTGCTAATGATTTCCAAATAGTTTAAGATAGGCTAACTATTACAGTAAATAGATTGAATTGTGAGCACTTACTGCCAGTATTTGATTGTTGAGGATAATAGACAAGAAATTGAGCATTACCACCAATATGTGCTGCGTTAGCCACAGTAGGGTGTGTTCCAGAAGGAGCTAAAAGTTGTGCAATACGAGCTGCATTATTGCTAGAATCAGTTGTTAAGCATTCCGGTGTAATTACACTAGCCAACATCAAATTATTATGAGTATTGCCACTGTTTGTTGCACCAGTTGTAGTATTAATGGTACCAATTGGTACGGCATGTGAATTTTTCCCATGTGTTTGTACTATATTTAAAGCTTGACGAGGATAAGCAATCATTTGATATGTTTGATTATTTGGTAAACTATTACTTCCAGGTGCATTATGGCCTTTTATCGATGTATTTGCAATCAATATAGGACGATAATTAGCTCCAAATTGTGATTGTTGAACAGTACCAGTACCAGTAGTAGTATTAACTTGTTCGACAACTCGTGGAAGTGTTTGTATTTCATGTAATGTATTTGTTCCCAATGGATAGTGAGCAATCAGTCCACGATTACCATGTACATAAGTTTCCATAACAGCCGGTACACCAGCTGCGTGTACAACTGTATGCATTGATTTTTGCATACCTGCTATATTATGACTTAATTGTGGTCTATGTCCACTGGATTGATTTTGTTGTCCACTTAAAATATTTTGTGTACTTGTTATAAGACATTGACCACAAGGTACTGCTGTAGGATTAACTGAAGCCAATGGTGAGTTAGTCACATTTGTATTTGTATCCATTGTGGTTAATGATTGACTTGAGATAAGCAGTTGAGAACGTTGACTGGACATAATCACAAGAATAATAGATATTTACTAGGAAGAAGAAAAAAAATACGCAAGTGATATTTTAGCATACTAAATGAAGTATACAACGAATGTCTTTGACAAATGATACAATGAAAATAAAAATATGGATAAATCAGAAAATCTCCACATACTAACTACCCGTTAAAAGAAAACTGGATCTAGAATTACTGCTTAATTAATCTAGTGAAGATTGCTATGATCGATTCATGCTGAATTGTTAAGCTGATAAGTAACTCGTTAACAATAACTGTTTTAACACATGCTAACAGATTCGTATCTAGCCTCCATCTTATTACAAGTGTGAATTGTAATTAAAGCCTCGTAACATGTATTCTCTTTAAACTCCAGGATTACTCAGGTGAACACAGTAAATATATAATCAATGGTACTCAGTTAGCAATAATGAATATATAGCACGAAATATGTTAATAATCAATCATTAATTTTATGTACATATATAGTAGGTTTCATTTATTATAAATTTTCGTAATTCTTAAACAGGAGTTTCTTCCGTGTCAGAATGGAAACTAACAAGTGTCAATGAATTATCCTGTCCAACTATTCTCAAACCCCTTCACCCTGCTTACATGAAGTGACAGTAAGAATAACTATTCGGAGATATTCATGAATTGCGCCATTAGTAAGTCAGTCATATACAGCGCAGAACCTGGTGCATGTGTGCATCGGTTCAATTTACCACACCGTACTAACACAGTAACATAAAATTATCAAGCCAAATTCTAAAGTAGTAGTAGTAGTAATAGTGTCAGTAATGGTGGAGAACATACAATGTGAATAACAATTATTAGCTAGGTGTACGATGTTAACAGGCTTTTCTCTTTAAAACGTTCATTCAAGACAGGAAGTTATGATTGCTAAATTTATTTATTTTATCTAAACATATAAAATTGATACAAGGAGGCACCAAATAGATAAGCCACACATAAATCATCCGATTTGTATGAGGGCTGGGATACTTCCCGGGTGCTCAGACCGAAGCACTTGGTTTTCTTAGGGGGCCACACCCAGAGCCTTTGACCTAAAAACCTGATCCACAAGGCAGTGGAGCATCGTAAGGACAGGCAGTCGCATGGTAGCCGGTGACCAACAATAGGTTCATACGCCATTTGTTTCCTTAGGATTCTAGAGCCCATGTACATCATCGGTTTGGAATCAAGGTGCCCTAACTCTCTTAGGTCGACTCTCCATGTCCACCAACTCGGTTGAAGCACCAAACATTCGCTTTTCATCCGCTCAATTTTGTAAACAACACCCCTGCCACAAGAATGCATTGAGTAGGACGTCCCTGGCAGTGGTTGTACGCACATGGTCATGTGAGAGCTGACTGTCCCCACTTTCGGCCGTAACAGGGCATTTTGGGGTAAAGTTTATATAAATAGGATGTCGCTGCCACGATAAGTGAGATATAAAACTGAGATATTTTTGTATTTAAGCAGATTGATCTATGATCGGTGAATGGTTGACTACCAGTATATCCATTTCTGCAGTTAGTCAGCAGTATGAATTACCTTGCTTGAGCTAGAAGTCCTTATGATCAGTCTTAAGTAGATTTTCCACTATGTAATAATTTTATATAACTTCTAGAATGCAAGAGTGAATATAAACTTTTGCTTTTCAGCATGACTTTGCTATTACTCGGCAGAGGAAAGTATGTGAGAAGCATGAAAAATTTTTTCAGAATCAATAGGAGATTCATTGAGAATCGCAACTCAAATACCATTGTCAGATACATCTCCTGATACATGTTTGAAGTTACAATGAATAAACACTATGTCTAGACATTCCAAGATCTTTTTTAGCTTTCTAAATAACGTTTGACATTCATTAACTTAATGCAACTTAATGAATTTAGCTAGCAATGTATTATGATGTAATGTGAAGATAATGCATACAAGGCATAAAATGGTCATATTGGTTTATCATTTCCAAAAAATATTTAGTCACTACAATGAAATAATTCGATAATAATTTCTTTGAACATTCTGTATGGAATCATGAATTCACTGACTGATTTTGACTTTTGAACTGAGCTAGCAGGTTATATGGTATTTGCCAATAAATCCAGACAAACATATCTAGCCATGCTAAATACAAAAAACTGGGCCAAATTGTAAAATGTGTTACGCTTTTGATTCCATTTAATGAACTGTACATGTGTAAATAAACTCTTGCTTTGATTTAATCTGCCTCTCTATCAAATGGTGGGATTACTGGGTGTAAATGTATTACACATGGTTGAATATCATGATCTTGTAAGTTTTACAAATCGTCTTTTTTCGTTATATACTACAGTTATATATACTACACTAAGTGAAACTACAGAATGTTGTGAAGAAATAAAAGAAAGAACGATTTTATTTCGAAATATACATCATAACTACTAGTCATTATAAACATCACAATAAACAGTAATTCAGCAGTTTATTTTACTGAACCACTATAAAAATAACAGGATATAGTCACACTGAGATTTGTTTACATGAGTTTTACTTCATCTCCAAATACTTGTGTACTGCTGAAGATATCTAGACATTATTAATTTATGAAACTGAAGGACTCTTAACAATTGGGTTTATATACAATTGCTTGTAAACAGAGTGAGCATATTATCTCTGGTAAATGTTTTGATACCGATTGTTAGATTGTTAAGTCGATGTATCCGTGACTAAATTAGGATGATTTCGTTTTATTAGGGTTTGGTCAAGTGGAATTACCTGAATTCCAATCAATATTAGTATTCTCATTAAGACTTAGACCAAAACCAAGCCCCACCAATATCAAAGCCTAATAAGTTTTCTTCTTAAGTCACAATATATCGTTTCTTTAACAAGTGTCTCACTTGTTATAAGTCTTGAAGCATACAACTATTTCTTAACATTAACTAAATTGGTCAGTTTCTGACTATAAGTGAGTTCTCTAAGTATAGCTTCCCTGTTGTACTTTTCTATTTAAATCTGGTTTTGTTTAGTAAGTCGATGAAACATTTTTCGTTTTATCTGGAGACTGGGTGACATGGCTCAGAATCGATCACAATGGCGTAGGTGTATACATACTTTGTCTTCCCTTAAACTATGAGATTAAAATTATTTCATATCTTTCTTCCTGTACTATATTCTTACATAAGATCTTTCCTTTATATACTACACCATTGAGTTAACTGCTTCTATGAATCCGGTGTTCATCTTGCTGTGCTAATGAGGTATGCCAACTTGAATCGATGCATGTATGTGCTTGGTCCTACGTTGTAACTGACTGACTGAATCTTTCTTTTATATATTACCACCACTGAATTAACTATTTCTATGAATCCGGTGTTGGTCTTATTGTGCTAATGAGGTATGGCAAATTAGACCGATGCATATATGTACCTTGTCCCACGTTCTAGCTGACCGACTTATTCACATGTATTAGGTTCTACATTGCTTATGATTGGGTAAGATGAAATCTTGAACTTTCAACCCAGCATTCAATTAATACAATACCATCAATTTTTTGACATTTTCTAAATTATCTTATCTTATCCTATGGTTGTAACTGACTGACTGAGATTGAATTATCTCGACTCAACTGAATTAAAGCATTCCGGAATTAGAAACGCAAATTGACCGTTCTTTTTTTTTAAGTAAATGAAAAACGTTTTGAATCACTAGAGATCAATAGCCATTAATTGTTCAGTGGATGATAATTATTACTGAGATAAATACCAATTTTTATTATCATACCCATAATGCCAAAGTATAACAACCATAGGAAATAATCTAATTCCCTATACAATTATTATGTTAAACTAAATCAACTTATTACTCTTAAACCTGGACAAAAGGTAAAATAAAAACTTCTACAAATAAATTGTATAGCCCATTGTACAAACTAGAGTTTTTTTTAATTCAATGACTCAATAAGTAACGAATTGATGCTTGAAACGGAAACAAAGTACATTTAAGTCTGAATATAAGTATTCACACTAGGATATAGATGAATCAAAATGATAATTCCTATATAGGACTAAACACAAGTACTAAATTTCACTGATAGCTACCAATATCAAGGTAATACGCTTATGATATATATATATATATATATATATATATATATATATATATATATATATATATATATATATATATATATATATATATATATGCTAATCGAAACCGATTCACTACTATCTTTAACATTAACAAAATAAAAAAATACAAATTCTTACAAACAGATTGATTTAATTCTATAAAAATATACTAAAATACCTCAAGTTTATCGATTAACTTCTAAATGACCAATGAGAATGTTCAATTAGAATAACATCTCTGCTAGAATTATTGATTTTAATTTAGTCTTTTGAAGAAATAAATGTCAAAGATGTATCGATTATTTTTGATAATAAAAAAAATACAGAAAAAATAGAAGAAAGATATCCCAGGTCAAAGATTGAAAGATAACATTCAATAAAAGTAATATATATATATATATATATATATATATATATATATATATTCATTGATAGGAAAATAATAAACAAAAAATTGAACAAAAAGAAAAATAATAAGAGAAAATTAAGAATTTCAATAAAAATATCCATTTAATGCCAAGAAAAAAAAGTATTTACATTTTTTTTGTATTTTTTTTTGAAAATTGGAACTATGGTAATTAACATGATCTAAATTGTTTTTTTTTTTAATCATGATTTACATTTATCTACACTTAAAATGAGACAAAATTTAAAATTTATATTAGATAGACCATATTGATAATAATATTTACATTTATATTTAAGTGGGAAACATTAATTAACGACTGTTATTCATTGATTAAATTGACTTTAATTAAATAAGATATTCTGTTGTTAAAAAAATAACTAATAATATATTCATTTAGTGTTGTTTTTACTTGCATCTTCCCATTGTTATTTAAGAATGCAATTGATCAGTCTCATGTTGGTATATGTACATTCTGTGCGGACTGCATCGGTATAGTCTTAAGTCAAA